GTTCATTTGGAAAAAGAAAAAAATGTTTATAAATGCTTGAGCTGAGCCTGTCAGTGATATTACTTTGCATAATTATATTGTCTGTTGATTCATTTTCCATATTTCTTTGGATGGAGCCTCTCCTGAGTTGATTAAAACTTGTATTTCATAGTCTATTTAAATTCAAATGTTGCTTTAGAAATTCTACTTTGATTGGACATTCCAATGCACCCTTTCCCAAGGGTATTTGTAAGAAAAAGGCTGGAAAAAGCATACAAGGTGCAAGACCTGGGGTTTTCCATGATATCTTGATCACTGTCCCATCTCTTAGCTGGTTGCCAGTTAATATTATTTGATGTGCATTTGGAAGAGAGTTAAAGTCTTGTCATGTGTAAATGCACTAAGATTGGGTACATCTTTGAGAACTAATGAAATATATTTAATCCGTGAGTTTCAAGGTTTTTCAACAAACTTTCAACTAAATGAAACATCTGCTTTGGAACTCTCTTAAGTGACTCCATGCCTGAATTTCTGTCTTTCGCAAGCAGAAATGGAAATTCTTAGCTTGTAACTCCTCTAGCTTGCTGCTCTTAAGAAAATTGATTTTCCACAATAGGATTCTCTTGTGCTGGTAACCTGATACCTCAGAACTATTACTACTAAGGGAGGGAAATATATGGGGATGTGTTCTTTGTTATGAGTTTCCATTCTCTGAGTGCTCACTACCTTCATAACTCAACAGGAGTCCTCTCTGTAAATCAAAAAGAATGCCAAAAGAAAACTCACTTTCCTAATTTGTGCATTCTTTCTTTCATTCCCTACTCTGTTGAGTACCTCCTTGGTGCCAGTTTCTAGTGAGATCCTGCAGAGGAGAGCAACGCCTATTCTGTGTGCTTAGATGACTTCAATACAGTGTGCTAGGGGGCACAGTGAACACTGTTGGGAGCAATGTTCAGAAAGAAACCACAGAAAGCTGATGGCTCATTAGGCATTTGCCATATTGATTAGAGGTAGAAAGGCATTCCAGGCAAAAGGAACATCAGAAAGAATGAAAGCAACATAGAATAATGTGAGCATATGGGAGACTATACACTGTGTAGAAGACTTGAGTGTAAAATACTGGGTGAAATGTCAGGTAGGCAAGTCAGATAGCGATAGGTTAATACAGACAATCTTTATTCCCCTTCCCTTATGTCTTTGATCTTCTTGGCATGATAGCCTTAGTACATAGAGGGCTAATGGAGGATTTCACTTGGCTGTTAACAACCAGCAAATGACTCATTGGACCCTAACTCCCTCATTTAGTATATAGTTAATGGGAGCCAGGCTGCAAACAACTCTCTCAGGATGTTCATCCTGGGGAGACAGGTTGTAGTTACTATGATTTTTTTTTTTTAAGATTTATTTATTCATACAAGAACTGGAGTACAGGCCAGATGTGCGGGAGGATGAGAGGATTCACCGGAGACAGAGTGGGGAACAACAGGAGAAATACACTGCTGAGGGGAGCAGCGGGCGAGACAGAAGAGGTCTGCCGCACCATGTGGGACCCTCGCCAGCTATCCGGGATCAAACTGGCACTGCAGAGGCTGCTGACAGCTTCTCAGTGCTGTGCTCAACCACCTGCACCACCAGGGGAGGCCCATTACTATGATTTTTGAATAATACCTTGACCTCCATTCTTTACCCCTATTGAGATAACCAAAGAAATAAACATAGTATACCTGATCTTTATGGAACCAATGCTGTTCCTGCCTCTGTCTTTAAGGATGTGTTTTCTGAAAGCATAAACTATGGTTGCTATAGAGTAATGTAGTTGCCACGTTACTGTCACACATAGCAGTTAAGTAAGATGCTGGCTTGTAGCTCATTCCCCAGGGGACTAATGCAAGCAGTGTAGCAGACACCTATCAAGCTCCATTGTTTTCTATTTTGTTTTTGGTTTATGATGGGCAGTGACACTCTTAGATTCAGTGACACTCTTAGATCAGAGACCTAAGATTATATGTCTGTCTTCAATACCATGAAACTAGGAAAGTTCTTGATGTTGCGCCCTACAGATGATTTGCTTCAGGTCACATTAAAGTGCCATTAATTTCTAACTCAAGACAAGTATTTCAGCAAGGGAAAGGATACAATTTTATTGTGATAGGAAAGGCACTCCAGGTCCAGGGCAAGAAATAAGCAAACAGCCAAAAAACAAACTAACAAAAAATTCAAGGCTTCTCCTAAGAGATATTATGATGCGGGTTTTAAAAGCGTGGGTTTGAGAACAAGGTGTGAGTTGAATTTCCCTTTGTTCTGCTACATTGATTATTACAATAGCTATGGAGTGCATGGGCAAGTGACACAGTTTCTTCCACAAAATAAGGTGAAGAGTTTCTACATTGCTACTATTGTTATAAATGAATAAAATATGTAGGACTAATTTTTATTAGTGTGTGGGACTTAATAAAGTTCCAAATAAAATTTAACTGTTTTTCTTATCTTCATAATTTGGCTTATAATACCAGGAAAAATGGCAAGTATGTTTCCTTTAAACTGTTTTATTTTGTCTTTTATATGAGAGATTTTAGTTGAAACTATTTTTTTAATAAAGATTTATTTTTATTTATTTATAGAAGCACTGGGTACAGTCAGAAGCGCTGGAGGGTGAGAGAATTCACCAGAGCCAGAGGGGGGAACAGAACAGGCAGACTGACAAAATACACTGCTGAGGGGAGCAGCAGGCATGGCGGGAGAGGTCTCTCGCACCATGTGGGACCCTCGCAGGCAGCTGGGGATTGAACCAGCGCTGCAGAGGCTGTGGGCAGCTTCGGAGTCCAGTGCTCAACCACTGCACCACCAGGGGAGGCCCTTAGTTGAAACTATTTTAACAATTTCATTTTATTTTACTTTTTGGAGAAATATAGATGTGCATTATATATATATATAATATATATATATATTCTGAGAGTGAGTTCTGAGAAAAGAAGAAAAGCTTCATTCATAATAAACTGTAGAATAACAAATGCATGATCTAAGGCATTGGAACAGTGAAGAAATGAAGATGCATTTTTCTATATTTTAAAAAAATGTGGCAAATAAAAATATATGTATAGATATAGAGTCAGAAACTAAAGTTTTAGGAAAATTTCCAACATTATAGTTTGGCTTAGAAAATTGTAAATTACTTATTGATTTAGTAAAGGAGAAAAAAATATTGAGAAGACACATTTCCGTCCCCAAACACTCTGATCACCTTAGATTTTAAAAGGAAAGAAAATATAGGAGATAGTCACATGAATGTATTTTTTTGTTTTTATAATGGTGTGGTATTTTGATTGTACAAAATAGAACTAGAACTGATACATTAAGTTACCTGGTGGTAGATATTAAATCAATAAACTGAAGAAACTTCTAGGTAAAAAAAAAGTATCCTTGTGAAAACATAATAGACCTTGTTAGTAGAGGTTGTTTAGGTCAATACAAGATAATCACTCACAGTGTGTTTTGTTCCACTATGGTAACAAATAAATTCCAACATTTTAGTGGCATAACAATAAGGCAGTTTATTTCTTGTTTACATAGAATTGCTGAAGGTTTGGTGACTTCTCACACCAAATATCCTACAAGAGGTTCTTTAAGAATCCAAGCTACTTTCCTCTCATGCCTCCCCCATGGTCACTTTTAAAGGGAGGAGGGAGAGGCTGAAGGCCCACCAATCCTATATACTTCATAGTGGAAATGAGGTATCGCTTCCTGTTACATTACTGACTATAAGGACATATAACCTCATCCTAACTATAAGGAAATGTTGGAAGTATTTTCTTCCTTGATATTTGGAATGCATAGCACTCTCTTAACCTCTCAGGCTCTGAGAGGTTAATGAATTAAAGGGCAAACCCAGATCTTAGTCTGAAATTCCAATGATTAATAATTGTGGTTTATGAAATTTAAATAACAAATTTACCAAGCCAGATTCTGCAGTAAAGATGCTTGAATTGGAGAAATATGCACTAACCACAGTAAAACTTCAGTGACTTGAGTGGCTATGTAAACAATGAGTTGGTTTACATAAACATGCATTCCCAGGTATGTATGAGCATTATGATGCTTCTCATAAATCTCTTCTGTGTAGACAAGCATTTGCACTTGATATTTGTTTTGTTTACTATCATAGTTCAGCTTGGGAGATAATATGTTGAGACAAATATATGCAAATCAATCTTCTGTGCATGATATTTCTATTTCTCAATGATTCTACTATCCTCTTTACCATCTCTGAAACCCTAATCAAATCTTTCCTCTTCATCAAATCTTCTTAAATCCTGTTAAGACTGCTTCCAAATATGTCTTTACAGGTAACTATTTTTTACCATCCCAAATGTTTTTTTTTTTTTTCCTTAATGAAGGTCTTCACATTTCACCTTTGTAGTAATTAATAGACTCATATATATCTTGCTTTCTTCTAGCACCTCTTCTTATGCAGCCACCAATGTGTACTGAAAACTGGAGACTATTTAAGTTAAGCTTATAAGTTCTAAAAGTGAAACAGCCTGCAATGTTGTATAATTTTCTTTTCTTTTATCCTTAATTTTATCATCTATTAAGTGGTAGGTAATAAAATCTCATTCATTTTAAAAGCAGAGTGATAATGGAAATATTTTATAATTGGCACATAATGTAAAAAAGAATTAGAACAGATGCAAGCCATAGCTAGATCCTTGCTGTAACAGCTAATAAATCTTTAATTGCTGGGTCATTGTAAGTTCTGGCAGCATGCCTGAAAATTGATGAAAAAGGCAAAGATATGGAAGACATAACATTTGTTGGACAATTGTTATTTATCAATGGTGTATAAACAGCGAAATGTTGTGTAATAGTAATGTGCTATCTAGTAATTGATTATCAACTATATTTTAGTGAACTCATTGAAAGCACTGATGATTGTGTACAATCAGTCTTAGATTATGTCTTGCTGCAGTAACAGACAAGACAAAATATTCAGGTGTTAATAAAATAAAAGCTTATTTCTCCCGGAGTGGCCGCGTGTTGGGTTTGTTCTGCTGTGCTCCATCACCTTCACCTAAAGATGCATCCTGACTTATCTCCACACTTGCACACTGAAGAATGCAACGTCTTGATTAACTTGCTTAAGGAATGTCACAAAAATCACAGCATTCTGAAATTTTTTGGCCATTGCAATGATCTTGACCGGGAGATGAGAAAATGCTTGAAGAAAGAGTACATGGAAAAAAGGACCAAGAGCAGGGAGCATGGCAATGCAATGAGAAAGAGAATTTTTAATCCTGCAGAGGAATCTGAAAAATAAGATTATATTTTCATTGGATACCTAAGAGAAGATCTAAAGACTCTTACTTGATAGCTGAAAGAATCCTATCTCCAGAATCCTCTGAATGGAAAGTGACCCATGTGAAATCAAGCCATGGAGGAGTTCAGAAAGTCTGGGTTCTCAGTATTCATGGGGCAGCAAATCTAACTTCTAACATGTTTCTTTCTACTGCCTACAACTAGATAACATTCAAGTAATTTATCTTCCTTAATAAAATAATTGACTTTAAAAAAAAAAAAGCTTATTTCTCACCTACAAAATATCTACAGATTAATTCAGTTGATTCTCCATTTTCAGTCTGACAGATTTGGCTAGAGAAGAGAATCCAAAGATTTATCTATTCTTAAATTACCACCTGCAGGTGGTAACCATTACTTCTGACATATGTTATTGATCAGACCAATTTACTTGGCCATTCCTATCTTCAAGAGGGTTGAGAAGTACACTCTTTCTGTATGTTCAGAAAGATGAGTTGGACATATTGCTAGGCAATGGTAACATCTATACAGAGTGTCTAGCATATTTTTATGTTCTAATTATTATCAAAGCATACTCTTATTCATTTCTCTGTTCAAACTATTTTATTGGATTTAATTTACCTTCCTTTTAATGTTCAAACTACTCATTAACACCCCTCATGATATAAACCCTAAGTAGACTTCTCTACAGCTTCTACTATTTCTCTTCACTTTACCTGTGATCTATCCAAGCTGGGCATTTGCTTTTCCTATCAATCTATTGTTTTTTGTTTTTTTTTTAAGATTTATTTATTTATTTATAAAAGCACTGGGCACATTCAGAAGTGTGGGAGTGTGAGAGAATTCACCAGAGCCAGAGCGGGGAGCAGAGCAGGCAGAGTGACGAAATCCACTGCTGAGGGGAACAACGGGCAGCAGGAGAGGTCTGCGCACCATGTAGGACCCTCGCCCGGCAGCTGGGGATTGAACTGGTGCTGCAGAGGCTGGGAGCAGCTTCACAGCCCAGCGCTCAACCGCTGCGCCACCAGGGAGGCCCTCAATCTATTGTTTATGTTTATTTCTTTGTCTTTTTTTTTTTTAAGATTTATTTATTTATTTATACAAGCACTAGGTACAGTCAGAAGCGCAGGAGGGTGAGAGAATTCACCAGAGCCAGAGAGGGAACAGAGCAGGCAGAAGGACCAAAGTACACTGCTGAGGGGAGCAGCGGGCGGCAGAAGAGGTCTGTGCGCCATGTGGGACCCTCCTCCTGTGGCCGGGGAGCAGCCGGGGATCGAACCGGGCGCCGCGGAGGCCATGGGCAGCTTCGCAACCCAGTGCTCAAACGCTGCGCCACTGGGGAGGCCCTATTTCTTTGTCTTTTTATTACTTCAACATAAATGCCTTTACATAAACTTCATATGCCATAACACCTTCGAATACATCTGACCATCACTTTAAAATGTTTTAAATTTTCATTATAAACTTTCATAGAAATAGTCCATGAACATTCATTATACTATTTAAACCAAGGTTATTTATTTATTTCAGTTATTAGAATACAGACACTATCCTGGAAAAATTCTAAAGGTATGGTCTATACCTAAATAATCTGTGTCATCCCTCTTAGGAGTGACTTACTCATAGGAATTTCATAAATAATGATGAATTAAATGAGGAAGCAACCCCGTATCATACTGGTCATTGTACTGGGGGTTATAAATTATGGATTTTAATTTTTTGTTATTTCTTATAGTCTAAAAATTATTTTTTTTGGTTCTTCTGTTTCTATATGTACAACACATGAATGAAATTATACAGTGTTTATCTGCCTCCATATCATTTCACTAAGCAAATTTCCTCTAAGTTTATCAAAGTTGTTGCAGAATTTCATCTTCTTTTTTAACAGTTGAATACAATATTCCATTGTGTATATATGCCACATCTTCTTTATCCATTCTTCAGCTGATGAGCACTTAGTCTCTTTCCAAGTCTTGGCTGTTGTGAATAGTGCTGCAGGAAACATGCTGGTACACATTTCTCTTCAAATTAGTGTTTTTGTATGTTTCAGGGAAACTCCCAGTAATAAGATAAATTGATCGTGTGGGATTTCTATTTTCTTTCTTTTTTTTTTTTTTTTTTGAGGAATCTCCATTGTGCTTTCTATAATGGCTGCATCCATTTATAATTCACCAGCAATGAAACCACCAGGGGTTCTATTCTTTCCACATTCTCTTCAGTATGTTTCTGGCATTTTTGGATAATAGCCTTTCTCACAGGAGTGAGGTAATATCTCAAAGTTATTTTTATTTGCATTATTTTAATAATAAGGGATAATGAACATATTTTTTGCATCTGTTGAAATGAACATATATCATTTGTCATTCTTTTTGTTGATGTGGTATACCTCTTATTGATATTAGACCATCCTTGCATCCCTGCAATAAATTTGACATGATAATGGTGTGTGAGTATTTATAATATTATTGAATTTTTTAGCTAGAATTTTGTTATCTATTTATATCCTACGTCCAGTTTTGCATCTGTGTTCATTAAAGAAGTTGAACCTGTAATTTTCTTGCTTTACATCATTATGATCCTAAAAGATGCTTGATACATTTCAGCCTGCATAAATTTATTAAGATTTGTTTTGTGTCCTAACATATGATTTAATCTTGAGAATTTTCTGTGAGCACTTGAAAAGAATGTATATTCTGGTGTTTTGGGGTTGGAATGTTCTGTAAATATCTACCAAGTTCATTTCATCCAATTTGTGAAAATGACCATATTTGGAAATGGGTAGGTGGGAAGTCAAGGAAGATTAACAATTTTTTTTTCTTTTGAATATCTTTACACTGTTAAATATTTTACTAAGTAAATAAAAAAGCCTTATTAAACTATTTTAACTCCTATCTTTTTATAAAAATTTCTGCAGCTAAAGATTTTTAATTTCTTCTTCCCTTTAGAAAAGTGAATCCTATATTACACATGTTATATTGTACAAATTCTCCACCTTTATTTGAACTGTTGCCTTCAGCATTTTTTTTCACTTCTTCCTATGTTCATACATATTGAATTCATCCTTATTAATTTTCTAATTATCCCATGAGGAAGTGGTTGGTATTTTAGGATTTTTCTCCTAAAATTGAAGGCAACTTCAATCATTTTGTGAAAGAATTATATTATTCTTCAAAGTTGATGGTTTATTTAGAGGTATTTAAGTTGAATTCAGTTATAGACCCTGAAATGAAATAAATGTCTTCACTTGTATTCCATTTTCATTTTTGTGTATTCTCTGTACTATTAGTTTATAGCTACACCTCCTTTGATTTGACATTATTTTTTTGTCCACTACCCTTAACTTTCAAATAAAGGATAGAATTTTAAAACTGTGATTGCTGCTTTAATAATAAGTGACCAAGTGAAAAACAGTCAGATATAAATGATTTAAACACTGGAAGATAGTCCCTGCATGTAGAATTTCAAGTACTCATTAAAAAAAAATAAAACCTAGAATGTGGTTTGTCCAAGTATCGTTAGGCTTCTTTTTTTTCATCATGTTTTGTCCTCATCTTTCCTTTTTATTTTTCTAGCAGTTCCAATAAAAATCATGTAAAAAATGTAAATACCTGATCAGAGGAGTTGCTTAAGAAATGTCGCAGCCAAAACCAGCTCTTGGTGTGAGTGCTAGCTGCTTAACAAGTCAAGGGTGTAAAGAGCTATGAATAAAGAGAGGACATTTTGCCATGAATTATTCAACTAACCATAGGATGCTGTTATCTCCACTCCAGTGACTTTTAATTGCACATATAAGAATTCTGCTTATCTGGCATTCAATTTGATGCCAAGGTGCAGCTTGTCCAACCAGGGGGAGGTGGAGAATGAGGATCTCATTAGACAGGCAGCTGCCAGTCACAAATGCATTAAGGAATATGGAATAGGATTGTAACTAGAAAACTAGAAGACAGAAACAGACTTGGCAAAGGAAGGATGGATGGGTACGAATATGGGATATGAGATTTTCTTTTTCCTTGATCTTGGTGGATGTTGCTGAATCTTGAGTGAAAAGTAGAATTGTATGTGCTGCCTGAATCTACTTCATTTCCCTTTGTAGGGACCCACAGCTGATCCTAGGGCAAAGATGACACTGCTTTTTAAGGCAGCCTCTCAGAGGATCGCCTATTCTTTCATTTTAAGTGGAGTTTTGACACAATTTTGAGAAAATGTTGGTTTTATTTTTGAAAGTCTGTTTGCAATAGGTATGTTAATCAAGCTATATACATTTCCTGAAACTTTTCCCTCACCCCAAATTCCCAGAGGAGATGACTTTTGGCATCTGTGCTAAAAGTTTTCCACAAGTTTATCTTTCCCCATTTCAATATTTTGAGATTTAATTTGAAACATCTCTCAATTGGCATCCCTCCATAATAAGTAACTCTTTATATTATTTATATAGCCATTTCCAGAGTTCAGTTGCATATACAACATATAATTGTCATATACTAACTAGACCGCAGGTAAAGGATGCACAGATAAAGACTACAAGGACCCACAGATAAATACCCTTAATTTATGGAGCTCAAAGACTGGAGCAAATACTGACATACAACACAACCTGTTTAAGAGCTGAAATATCTAGGACTTTCAGGAAGAAGGGACCAAAGCAAGTGTAATGTAAGACAAAGAAGACTTCCCTGACAAGAAACATGATGTGTGCATATGCATTTGTAAAGTTTACAAACGAGTAGAGATAGGCATTCTAATTAGAAAACAGTTATGGAAGACTTGGAGGACTTAGAAGTCTTAAATTGCTTTTTGGGAGAACAGGGTACATAGGGAGAAAGACAAACAATAATTGTGAAGTGTGTACACTTGGTTAGGTTCCAATTTATGAAGTGTTGTGTGTGTACTTAAATGTTGTGCTGAATACAGCAGAGAGTCATTGAAGAATTTTAAGTAGGATCGATGTGATCAGATTTCTGGTATAGATAAATTGGTCTGATGACATTGCTCCTTCGACAGTTCCTTTATAGGTCTACACTATAAAATCTTATATTAACATCTGCTATGGGGCCAAAATCTAAAGGGCAATATAGGTTAATCGAAAGAGCAGAAATTTTTGAAGTCAGAAAATTTGCATTTTATTTATGTCCTCTGATTTTTAAGGTAAATAATTTTCAACAGTGCACTTTTTAACTCTTTCTCATTACATATTAATGGATATGTATGCCAAGAACCTGAAACTGTCCCTCATGTGTA